ATTTAGTTTAATAAATGTTTTGTTTTGATATATAGGTTGTTCGGGTTTTTCATCTAAAAATGCGACATTAATTTCTTGACGACCTAATATTATTGCATTTTTCTTTACATTCGCTTAAGTTCTTAGAATAAGTCTGTTAGGGCACATGGACGAATAAGAAGCCTTCTAAGCGTATATATTTAGCAATGTTATTACAACTTACAAACATATGAACCTGTTCGTTTAAATAAACAATAACATCACTATTTTCAATTTGCTTTTGAAAACACAACAAATAAAAAAAGGTGAGTTTTGAAATTAATGACATTGGCTTTTTTTAAATTTGCTCAAGCTTAATTTCACATAAGTCGTTCCCCAGCCATGGTAAGCAAAGTGGCGTCTTGTAAGAATCCACGAATACAAATGTTAGTGGCAAAAGCCGTCCACGTATCGCAGGCAACAACACACAGCATAATCAAGAAGGATTTCTGTTTAGAAAAGTGACAGAAGTCACTTCTACACAAGCTGCTTCTACGAAATATCCATTCAACCGTCGCATATATCAAATAGATGTTTTGTTTGACTGAAGTTAAGCACAAAGCTACACAAAGGGCTATCTATGCTCTACCCACGACGAGTATCGAAACCCGGTTTCTCGCGTTGTAAGTCCGCAGACATACCGATGTGCCACTGGAGGGCTCAAGCAGATGTAGAATAAAACAGGTATTCGTGCTATTGTTTACGAAGACATATTGGACTGTTAGAACGGACACTGGTAAACTCCTACACTGGATAGATTATGAAAAAAAAACATGCACGAAGGAGAGACTGTGCTATGGACATGAAAGCCTTATGACAAAGTTTTTTTTCAGTAGAAACTACGTTGGAAGGCCATTGACAAGACGCAAGATAAATAACATATGATATATTTGGGAAATTTGCCCTTGTGAAGATATAGTATTTGGTATACGTTTTTATTTAAGATCATAATGAAATTCACCGATTGCCAGCAACATCACCTACATAAGTGCGCAAAGCTAAAACAATAAGAAAAACAAGTAGATTGTTTGTTTGTCGCGCAAAGCTATACGAGGGTTATCTGCGCTAGCTGTACCCCCTCTAGTCTTACACTGCTAAATTAAAGGCAGCTGCTCATCACCACCCACTGCCAACTCTTGGACTACTCTTTTACCAACGAATAGTAAGATTGACCATCACATTATAACGCCCTCACGGCTGAAAGGGTGAGCATGTTTGGTGTGACGGATAAACAGGTAGAGAAAACAAATGCCATTGCGAGTTAAACAAAGTGCCCTTATTCAAGGTAAATTCAATTAAAGAAGAAAAAGTAAAATAGATGCATGCATACATTATATTCTTATGTACGTTTTACAACAGTCTAAAATATTTGGTTGTCAAAGTAATAATATAAAGCTTTCACGTGTATTTATATATTTTTGACTTTGCACATATTGATGTTTTCTTCTCTGTACAACTTTTTCTGGTTATATTTTTTAAGCATTGCTTGCTTAGTTAGCACTCACATTTAGTTCGTACATATAATGCTTAATAAATAAAAACTAGGAAAGAAGTTGTACAGTTATTTTTCAAGCATTTCAATATTATTCAAGTTTAGTTGTTTGGAGTTAAGCACAAAGCTACACAATGGGCTATCTGTGCTCTGCCTTCAACGAGAAGCGAAGCCCGGTTTCTAGGGGTGTAAGTCCGCAGACATACCGCTATGCCACTGGCTTCTCAATATTATTCAAAATGGAAGTTATGCAAGAAGGATGTTAATAAGTGCTGAAATTTTCTCAAGTTCATGTAAAAATACTTGAAAAACACAATACTAGTAATAGCACGGACGATTTAAGAACCGCATGTTCGTTACTATAACAATGATATGCATCTCCAAGGAAAAAATTGCGGTTGTGAGAGTGGGTTGCAGATAGCTTGGAACCAATCAGGTATAATATTTTCAATTGCAAGTTCGCTTGAGAACATCTCTTACTCTAACCAGAACATTATGTCATGAGACCCGATGCTATGTCTGAGGATTATGATTAGTGGACCTCCCAAGATAAGTAAGAGTTTAGTGAACCAATCAGGTATAATATTTTCAATTGCAAGTTCGCTTGAGAACATCTCTTACTCTAACCAGAACATTATGTCATGAGACCCGATGCTATGTCTGAGGATTATGATTAGTGGACCTCCTAAGTTAAGTAAGAGTTTACTGAACCAATCAACGTCTAAGTTGTACGATTCCAAGAGGTCCTTACTAATCCGATGATGTTGATGTAGGTTACTTGTTGGAATCCTGTAAAATTCAAATTAAGACAAACGATATCCATTCAGTATTTAATAAAAGGAGTTTAATCAATTCAGCATTGTCTTGCATAGAAAATTAAACTAGTTATTAACTTACGGTTATATGAGACTTGTGTTGATAGTCGTATCATATACCACAGTTATTAATGAGAGAGTTTGTTTGTTTTGGATTTCGCGCAAAGCTACTCGAGATCTATCTGCATAGCCGTTCCTAATTTAGCAGTGAAAGACTAGAGGGAAGGCAGCTAGTCATTACAACCC